AGTGCTGGGATTAAAGGCGTGCGCCACCACCGCCCGGCCCTACTGCCTACTTAAGTTTTAAAAACACTCTCCCACTGGCCCAGCCATTCCAGCTACACTGACCACTTCATTTCGGCTCTCAACTTGACAAAGCACCAAGCTACTAGAGCCTCTGTGTGAAAGAATCTTCCTGACAACCTTCCTTTGTCTCTGCTCCATTGTTCCACATCTGTGAGGACCTCTGTGACCACACAAAGCAACACAGCATCACCGCCCCGCCGCCCCATGATCAGACTTAGGTCACATCCTGTTTGATTATGCTCAGGGTCAGAAAGGTATGAATTCGTTCTCACAGGTTCCAGATACTTGTTGAATGAGCACCCGGAGAGCAGGAGACATGGACAAGGAAAACCACCAAAAGCAGTTAGCAGCTAGTTCAAGAGGAAGGGAGGCGGGGACTGATTCCCAGGCAGTGATGTAAGATGGTGACAGGATCGGACTCCTTAGAATTGGAGAGGCTGTATTGTTTGAAGGCCCCTGCCCTCACAGAAGTGAGGTATTACTTCCCCCAATGCAAAAGCAGGGAAATGAAACACCAAAGGCCTTTTGACACACTACGAATTCACCTCAGAGCAGGCTTACGATGAAAAGGATCTTAATTTGAATTTTGAGTGCCATACACCCCAGGTCTTAGTGCCTGCTTTTTCTTTTTTCCTGTCCAGCTGTTCATTAAGATATACCCTAAAGACTGGTGATTTCAAAAGCAGTCTTACTGAAAACAAAACCTTTTAGTATACTTTATCTCCACGAAGATACCTTAATGACCATAGAAGCTAGCAAGCAGCACCTCACGTTTTATAAGTCATAGGGTGAGGGTACTCACAAACTGCACTAACACAGATGAACAAGGTTGGCAGTCAAAAAGGGCTGTCGTTTCCTAACTTGGATCACCCCAATCTCGTGTGCAACAGTATGACTTCCTTGGGCTAAATAGGAAAGCATTAGGACTTTCCTTCAGGGAAAATGCTATTGAAGCACAAAGTTAACTCACCCAAGTCAGCTTAGGGAGGATGAGGGGTGGGTGGGACCAAACAGAGCTATGAAGATTTCAGGGTAAATGAGACAGAGCAACGGAAAAGTGAACAGTGTGAGGGCAGAGCATTCTATTCCGCAGGTCTAGTTTCTGTGCCAACATATCGCCCAAACTTTACAAATTTCAGAGAAGACAGCACACTCATCATTAATGTGATAAATTTTCACCCAGCATCCGTGAGAGGGATGACTTGTTAATGCTATCTATGAAACTTAAAAAAAAATACCCATCTTAGAAATTCTAACTCAAGTTATGAAGATCATTGTCCTGTCCTCCTCTGACCCTTTAGCTAGAGGAGGCCTGTGAGGAGGCCTAGGCTACTTACACCCTAAGCAGAGACTCTTCACCTCAGTCTTGGCGCTGTTGTCTAGGGAGGGGTCTTGGGAGCCTGAGTTATCAAGACAGAGCAGCAGTGACTGTAACAGTAAGGAGACTTAAGGGCAGAGTTTCTTTGATACTGGGCTGACTCAGGGGCGACCACCTGGGGCTCTATAAAGCTGCGTCCGGTGTAATGCCTAGTTCTACCGTGTGATCCAAAGCAAGAGATTTAAACTTCCTAAGCCTCAATTTTCCTGTATGTACAATGGGAATACACAGGGCTATTATTTACATAATCCATATAAAATGCTTGGCATATTGAAAATGCTGCATAATTACTAATTCATGAGTCAATAACTCATTGCTAATATGGAAAAACTCTGACTTTTAAGCCTTGATTTCAATGAAGAGAAGCTTCGTCCCGAGTTGAACGAAACCCAGATGTGCTGCTTAAGGCAACTGTGCCAGGCATCAACACTGTAGAAACACACACATTAAGGCCCCAAAATGGGGCCATTAATGTCCTGTTTAATAATGACAATTTGAACTCAAAAGACAACAGATTAAGCCAGTCGGCTTGTACTAGATTTGATTATAAGCTTGCTTTTTTTTTTTTTTTTTTTTTTTACAAATATGGAAAATGAAAAAAGTAATTCTCATGGCAAAAGTATATAGTAAAGAGATTGAGAGCTTAAAGGGAAAAGCCACCCATCTGTTGAAAAAATAAATGATCCGGAAGGAAGTAGTTTCCTTGCTGACCCATGCCCTATGGCAGCTGCACACCAGCACAAGCACAGACTTACACATGTGTAAGAATTGAGAAAGGAGGTTGCTATGGAGTCAGGGCAGAAGAGGTCTAAAGTAGCCCAGGTTACAGAGATAAAACGAGTTCTCGCTGGGTAGTGGTGGTGCACATCTTTAATCCCAGGACAGACAGGGGCAGGTGGATCTCTGTAAGTTTGAAGCCAGCCTGGTCTACAAATATGAGTTCCAGGACAGCCAGGCTGTTATACAAAGACAGGTTTCAAAACCCTGTCTTGAAAAACAAAACAAAACAGCCGGGCGGTGGTGGCGCACGCCTTTAATCCCAGCACTCGGGAGGCAGAGCCAGGCGGATCTCTGTGAGTTTGAGGCCAGCCTGGGCTACCAAGTGAGTCCCAGGAAAGACGCAAAGCTACACAGAGAAACCCTGTCTCGAAAAAAAGTAAAAAACAAAACAAAACAAAACAAACAAACAAACAAACAAAAAGAACCCGAGTTCTCTAAAGGTATGGGGGAAAATGCTAAGAAATGAAGACTAAAGAAACTTTCCATTCTTAGTTATCTTTACAAACAGAACATAATTAAAAATTCAATTCTGACAGAATACACATATAAGTTCCTCATCTGACAAGATGGAAAATACCTTGCATGTTGTATATTACTTATATTCAATCCTTTAATAATTTATGCTATCTAAATATGGCATTCATATTATTTTGCTGGTTTGGCATTTTTTTTCTGTGAATTTATGATAATTATTTCTCCTAAAAGATCATTAAGTGCAAATTTCATTGTGATGACTATTTCATCCCAGAGTTAAGATAATTGTTACGGAAAAGTCTGGATTGTTTGATAAAATTTTCTTAGTAATATGGAACCCAAGTTTGTTCTAAGGCAAAACCACTAGGCCCTGGCTTGCAGAATTGACGCTCTGCTGAGGGCTGACCCCATGGGCAGGAGTGTGGACACCATACACATTTTACTTCCAGAGGCGAGACCATGGACATGAGCACACCGAGTCACTGTATCGATCGTAACATTCCAAGTATATTATAGAACTTCCATTATGTAGATTAAAAAAAAAACTCAAGTAGAAAAACAGAATGCCAAAATATGATGTTCAAATCATTCCAATATTCAAAAAGTTCAGTCCCCATTCAGAAACAGATAAACAGTATATTTATTAAATGAGTTAAGACAAATAAAACTTTACAAATAGACAAATAATAAAAGGCTCAGTGGTTAAAATAGATGGTAAGCATCATTAAAAGAAATCAACACCATCATGGTAGTATCTTGGTTGGCTTACACGTGGAAATGAAATTTTCAAAGAGCAATTTCACAGAAATGAAGCCAGGTTTTTTTTTTTTTCTTATAAACAAATCACCATTTCTTGGTTCAAAACTGATATCTGTTATGAAAATGACCGTATCACATATTCGTAAGATGAGAGGGAGTAAACCCAGCGTCAAAGTGCAGCAAGTCTATTTACAACCACAAAAAAGGCAATGATGAGGAGAAAAGGATTTTTAAAAAATATACAAAGATTAAAAACATTTGGGATGCAAAATCAAACAAGTTTTCTCTTTTGTTAAAGATAAAATGTGAATTACAGATGTTGATTTAGCTATACACTCTATAACGGGATCCAAGATCTTTAACAGCTTGCTTGCATTTTATTCCCCCCTTACTTACATAATGTTCTGGAAATCTCTAGTAGAAATTACAGTGTCTCAGAGAGAGAAATGCACACTGAGCGTGTCTTGCTATTACTTCATGGATGTCCTGAGACCCGTTTATGGACTGGAGGTGGTGTAAGAAGCCATTGCCTTGAGTTGATAAAAAAGACCGGGAAGCTGGACACAAACCCTCCAAAGCACATGCAAGTCTAAATCTTGTGGTAATTACATTCATATTTAAGCATAACCAAAATAAAAAAAAAAAGAAAACTGAAAACATTTCCCTTTTCTCTATTCCCTATGCCTTGCAGGCTTCTTCAGTGGATAGGGTCAATTTTTAGAGGAGAAAGGGCTCTTCGAGAGGAGTCTGGTCCCCCACCCTCTTTCAGGGTGAGTCATTTCCCCCAAGATCATGCAGCACATTAATGGCAAAATCAAGACTAGGCACCCACTGCGGACGCCTGGTCTAAATATGCTTCCCAGCATATCATGCTACCTCTTTTTACAGTATGAGTAACTACAAATACCTGATGAGTAAATGTACAGTGATGGATGCGACAGAGCCAGTATGTTCCTAAGACTTGCAGAGGATTACTGCAGGCAACTGATGGAGAGAAAAGATTCCTCCCACCCACCAAAAAAAAAGAAAAAAAAAAAAAATCTCGAGCACCATCAACTAGGTTTCTTTGCCGGGTCAACATTCTTGGATGTCGCAGGCCTCGTATGCTTTATCAGCCTGAGGATGGTTTATCCGGTGAAATCTGCGCCCTGAAACAATACCAGTTTCAAAAGGGTGAAGACGCAGGGCAGACAAAGGAAGAAGGCAGACAGGAAAGAAGCAGAGAGCCCAGAAATTCAACTGATTCCGGGATGGGCATTTCAGCACATGGTTAATTATCACATCTGCGTATATTACGTTTAGAAGTTTTCATGTTTTCATGATTTATCTCCTTTCATCTAATGTTATTTGGCCACTTAATAATAAAAACAAGTGTGTCAGAGATAATGGCGGTCACGACTTTTTATAAAACGGTGACACTATTTTAGATAAAACTAGGTTCTATGAAGAATATGGTAGGTGGCAAAACTGTGCTGTCTCAGCCTGACTCTATGAGGTGAGCAACAAAGAATTCAAACAGTACTTCGTGGGGCCGTTACCAGCTTGAAATTTATTCCAATTGTAGGTAGAGGGAACAGACCGATGCATCACGTAGGCAGGACTGAGGATAGGAGCTGAGCTGTCTTAAAACCATTGCCGTGTATTTATTTAATAAAAGGGCATATTCCTTTATGTTTACAAACAAGTTCCAAAAACAAAAGGAAAACATGTATGCTTCTACCTATTAACCTTTTTCAAAATGCCAACAGCCCTGTATGCTGTATGCAGGTCTCTAAGGAGTTATTAGAAAAATCAATACAGTTCACTCACAGTTCACCAAGACATCACTGAACTAACATATTTAGACAAAAACAAAAGGACTAAAGGTTCTCTTGTAGTTTGATAGTTTAATTTGATTTGCCTGAAATAACAAAAGCATTTCAAGCATCTTTCATTGTGTATTTGACGTCCGGCAATAAACAATCTACTAAATTCTGAACAAAAGGTTATTAGCAAGTTTTCAAAAAATTTAAAAATTAAACAGTTCTTTCAAAACCATTAAGTAGTAAATGTATTTAAGAAACTAATTAGGACAGATGCCATAACTTCATTAGAACACCACTGCTCATGTTTTTTTTTTTGTTGTTGTTGCTGTTTTTTTTGTCTTATTGTTTTCTTTTTTTTGTTTTTTGTTTTTTAAACAAAGCATTAGTGTTATCTATTCGGCTATTAGTATTAGCAATTTATCTACAATATTTAACAAGATAAATTGTAGGCAAAAATTTAGTACAGTTTCAATAGAAACACCCCTTTTTTTTTATTTCCTGAAAATACAGCAGTATTTGAAGGACTAAGTTTTCTCTGCATTAGTTATAAGGAAGCTTCCCATCTATGAAGAAGAACAAAAAAGTATCTACAAACCTTGTAAACAGATCTGTATCATTTATAAACATAAATAATCCAAATTATTAACAGCCAACAGCAGAAATTAAAGTATTCATTCAATGATCCAGGGTTCTCTGTCTTGCCCAGCCTTACTCCTCCCCCTCTCCCATCAAGGACTGAGATAAACCACAGTTCTGCTAATACACTGTCAGGACCACGCCAGGTACCACGGATGATCCACAGGTCACGTATGCCGAGCTGTTCATCCGTCAGTTCATTTCTCCCACCCCCCAAAAAGCACCCTCAGTCTGGCAGAAAGCTTTGCATTTTTTT